GAGGATCATGAGTTCAAAGCCAGTCTCAGCAAAAGTGAGGGGCTAAGAAATTCAGTGAGACTCTGCTCCTAAGTAAAATACAAAATAGGGCTGGGGATGTGGCTCAGTGGTTGAGTGTCCCTGAGTTCAATCCCTGATACCTGCTTCCCCAGGCCAAAAAAAAAAAAAAAAAAAAACTGTAAGTAAGATAGAAAGATCAGTAGAGTAAGGTAGGGAACAGGAGAAGGGAGGAGGAGAAGGAAAGTAGAAACACTGGGTACTGAATTAGAGCAAATTATACTCCATGTTTTTATAATTATGTCAAAACAAATCCTATTGTCATGTATAACTAAAAAGAACCAATAAAAAATTCAAACTTTAAAAAACACAAATAAAAAATTTTCAAAAAGGGATGGGGATATAGATCAGTGGTAGAGCACCATGGCTTCAATCCCCCGTATCATAAATTTAATAAATAAGCAAATAAATGAAACAAAATGTAATTATACAAAGAAAATGAGCTATAAGAGATGACCTGGTTTAGATGAAGTTCTTATTCTAATTCTATTTTGTTTGATCCTATCATATTCCTGTGTTCAGTGTTATAAATACAAGTTATATCCCTAGAGGGTACCTTTAAAATAGAGGAGGCTGTCCACCTCCTGGGGATAGTTTGAGAATGTGTATATGTGTGTGTGTGTGTGTGTGTGTGTGTGTGTGTGTGTGTGTGTGTGTGAGAGAGAGAGAGAGAGAGAGAGAGAGGGAGAGAGAGACGTGTACACACAGTTGGCTTAGGCTAGATCAACCATAGACAGACTTCCACTATGCTTTCCCAGAACCTTATGGCTCTCAGTTTCAATAACAATCATCATTATTATAAATTTGAAAATCATAAACCAAAGGATATAATTAAATTTAATGATTTTTAAAGATCAAATAAAATTGAAGTCTCTGAACAGCTATTTAAAAGATTTTATATTTCTTCAGGCTCCTCTTTATCACCATCAACTATTTTGTCATTTAAACACACTTGACCTCCATTTTAAGCTCCATTATCTCTATTACTGAGATAATTTCATTATTTAAAGTGCAGTACCTTTTTAGATGTTTTGGTATGTCAACCCTTGAAATCAAGCAAATAAATAGTGCCATAATTTAAAGATATATACTTAGTGATGAAAAACTAAAAACTTTGTATCAGAACATTCTTTACTTTAAAAAATAAATATTGGACTTAAGGACAATATAAATCACTATATACACCGTATTATGTAACCAGCATTTAGCCTTGATATTGGATATCTTTGGCCCCCTTTAACTTGAATTAACAAATTCAATTTGAAGTGTTAGGAATTAAAAACAAACATGGTTAAATATTAGGAAGTGAGTCCAAACCACAGAAACTGTAACTAAATTATATACCATTTCATAATGAAATATTTTTTTCAAATCATTATTTTCAAATTGTTATTCAACACACAAAAAATCATAGCTCTAGAGAAGTTCTTCAGAGCATAGTTAATAAGAAACAGAATATTTAATTCCACACATGAAGCAGGAAGGTTAAAAAAAAAGCATTATTTACTATCAAAAAAATAAAACAAACCTTAAGGACACAGTTGTTATTGTTATTGCAGTTGGCAGATACTCCTTGAAATTCAGCCACAGTGTTCTAAAATGGTTGACAAAAACAATTAAAGAAGGCTTCCCCAGCCCCTCAAAAGAGAGAAAAAGGACCGAAAAACACTGAAGTTCAGGTGCTTGCTGTAACACACTGTCAAATATGAAGAGGATGCTATTGGACCTTGGTAAGATACTCCCACTCTGTTTCATATATCATGGACACGAATATGGTCCATTCACATTATTAAATTGCCATCCATAAATAAACACAATCTTGCACACACAGCACAAGCTGTTTTCAACCAGGAGCAGCAAACAGCATGAGTTAAATTTAATGTAGTCCCATGAATGCTTTTCACATAAAAATTACAATCTTGTGAACCTTTTAATACTTACACAAGTCACAGCATCTATTATAATTTTGCCTGATTGTTACATGTGAACACAAGCAATTGAAAGACATATCTGTGGAGGTAGCTGCTTTAAACTGTATCAAATACTTCAAAAGATTCTAAAAATAACACTATTGTGATATTGGTATAATGATACTAATTTTCAGTAATGAAAACAAATTATTTTAAAAAAGCTGTATTTTAAGAGAAGGGGCTTCAGTCTCCACAGTGTTGATTAAGCTTGCTATGAACTAGACTAAAGAGATTTTTAAAATGTGACTTATAACCACTGACTTTACAATATAATAAATATCATGTTTTAAAAGAATATTTTAAAAAGCCAAATAATCACATAATTTTTAAAAAGGTATAAAATTATTCATTTTAATTTCATGACCATATTCATTTTCTAATTCAAAAAAGAGGTATAGCACCATTTGATACTATATTCCAACCTGAGCCCACAGCAGTTAAAATTATATGCTTTTTAACAGAAAGGTACCCATAAAATACAAACAGGCCAGAAAAAATATACAACAGAATTATATCATCTCACTACTAAAGGCTAAAATAATAGTGTGGATTATGACAGAAGACTAGATGTTATAAAAAATTAAAATCTAGTTGAAAAATTTACCATACCCCCAGAATACCATGTGCATAGTGCTGACTGTCTGAGGGGTTTACTGAAATCCTCTATAGTTACCTTTCAGATTGTTAGAAAGAAAAAGAAAAACAAATGCACAGTAATTCTATTAAATCCAGAAATGCAATCATTCATCACAGATTACTCAGATGTACATTAAAATTTTTTAGTGGTTTAGATTTTCATCTCCCTTTCTTTATAGGATCCTCCCTTTTACTTTTTGGCCTTCAGGCAGAGTCTTTGTACTACTACTACTTCTTCTTCTTTAATCAGAATGTTTAACAGAGAGTGAACAGAAACAGGAATGCAAATTAAAATGGAATTGGCTGTTTGCTTATTTTAAACTATTCCTAGTTTAAATATTTGGAAACAAAACAGAAAAAGCAGCAATTTAAATAGTTTGAGATTAACTATACATTTCAATTCTACTAGAGAATGACTTAGAATCTCCTAGAGCATTAAAATAGATATATGTAAGCATAAGTAACACATGATAAGGTGTTATTCCTAAACATTCCCCCTCTTTCTTCCTTCTTAGAGCGGACCACTGTACTTTTACAATTTCAGGATATACTGCTTATACTGTGATGTTTTCCATGTAGCCAATTCAGGCAAGCAACTTCCATCTGTCCATGTGACAAGTTCCAAATTAGAATCAACTTTAGATGATTTGATCAAAAACAGAAGCTCTCTATCCTTTGGCAGACAATGTTGATCTAAGAACTGGCTCTGAAAATTAGCTGGATGAACTCAATTGCTCTGTAACTAATTAGAGGTTTTCCTGGATAGGTCCAGGGAATGTCACAGGGGATATTATCAAATAAAAGTAATTCTAACTTTGAAATCAAAAGATGATTCTATAAATTATAAGGAAAGTTAAAAGCCAAGTGACTGATTACACAAATTCAGGGCCTGTTCTAACAAAGATATGTAAATCGATACACTGCTTAATTACATATAAAATTAAATCAATTATTCAATGACCATTTAACCATTGGATACTCAATATTCATTCTTCTCATTTCTGTTACTTTATGAACATTTTACTTTCCATTAACAGAGAAGCAAAGTAAATAGAACATTGAGAGAATATTCAAATCAATCCATTTTTTCCAAATCAATCTATTTAATAATATTTGGTAGTGTTAGTTACAAATTTTTGAATCAAGTAATAACATTGGCATTCTTAATACTAGAGTGAATTATCATTATTTGGACAGATTTTGCCTCTCCTCTGCACAGATGATTAAACTGGTTTTACCTGGACATGTTTTATTTAGTAACACACTGTGTTACACACAAATCAGAGAAGGATGAGAGAAAACTACAAAGGAAAACACTCTTTGACCCTCTCAAGAAAATGGGGGTTACTTGAAGTAACACAGTAGAAAGCTTCCGATTTCTAATTTCTGATTTCTAAGTTTAGTGAAAACTTCAATTCTTTTTTTCTGGTAAAACATTTGTGTATTGTTATTCTTTCCTTTAAACTCCATGAAGACAATACTTAGGGACTGCTGTCTAAAATATTCTCCAGGTTTTCAATTTCCCTGTTATTGAAAATACAGAACAAAGAATTATGGAACTTAAGTATTACTGGAAGCTCCATCACTCTAAACAGGAATCCTCATAACATCTTTTGTTCCCAGTTACCTTGTGTGTGCCAGAATACGCAGGCCCGTTAGGCAAGTTCTGTACACTCCATTCAACAACAGTACTGAACAACTGCAGAGTCCAGTAGGCTTTGGGGCCAAAGACTCTACTTTAATACTAACTCTGGCAGCTAAGTCATACCTGGGTAGGAGGGAACCTCAGCTGCTGCATTTCTAGAAAAAACAAAAACAAAACACCTCTTCTGAATGCTTTAAAGATTAAATGAGAACATGAAGGGAAGGCACCTTATAAAGTGCCTGACACTATCAGACTTATTCCTCTTACTCTTAAAAATATTTGCTCACATGGAAAATGATCTTTAGTCTCTTTACAAAAACAGACAAATAAATCCATAATCTTCCACTTGGTATATGATATGATCCTAAATATATATATATGTGAAATAAAAAATATTCTTTTTTTCATTTACTCAGATTATCAAATAGAGGAAAATCATATGCACATGCTCCAAAGAATAGACACCCCTCTACCTCCATATCTCTACACATGCTTTAGCTGCTTGAGTTGAAAACTTTGGGGATAAATGTGAAAAATTCCTCCAATAATTGGAGGAAACATGTAAATGTGATCTAAAAGTTTTACTTGGGGAGCCTTAAAATCAGGCTATCTCACTTTCCCCTTTTTCTTGCTCAGCCTGGTGTCTTATTCTGTGTTTATGGAATGTTAGAAACTAGAAGGAATCTAGCCCAATCCTCAAACTTGAAAGCCAAGGACACTGAGACACAGACAACAAAGCCTGGCCTCCTGCCTTTCCACCACTTGATGTCACCGTACTCCCCTCAACTTCACATCTAAAATCTAAGGGAGTGGGGAGGTAAAAATCAAGACTGCAGTGACTGATTTGACAAGTCTAAAACAGGCTTGCAGCCAAGCAAATCAACTTCTCTAATAAAACATAAAACAGTGGAGCAGAGAATTGAAAATTAGGTAAAATGCAAGCTCAAATATTTGAAAAAACCACTTTTTAGTTTCAAATTTTGAGATAACATATTTCCATACTTAATTTGTCAGTATAATTAGAAAAAAAAGTTGTCTTTTCAAGCAATCACAGAAAGAAAAATACCCAATAAAGTAAACAGAATTCTAAGAGACTATTCATTCATGAAGAAGCTTTCTAATGTACTATCCTTAATTCAAAGTTAATTGATATACCATTTTCAATTTCCTACTACAATAAATGGAGACTACATCCTTGTTATACTGCAAACACATGAAAACAATATACATTTTAGTTAAAATATCCCAGATTAAAAATACATGAAAAATATTTTTAATAATTTCTATGTTCTGGCTAGACACCAAAAAAAGTTCTGGAAAAGTAATATATTTAGATGAGTAGAGGTTGAACACATGAAATTTCACTGTGCTTATATTGTATCAGCTGACACAAAGAAGAATATTTGTTTTATCTGAATATTTACTAGTTGATGAAGTATGAAATACTACAACTAAATTGTTGATGGATTTTTTGACAAGTCAATATGAAACATATGCATGTTTGAATGTGTTTATAATAAAACATGTTGTCCCATCATATCAATGTACATTTGGCACTGACATTGGAAATACACCAGCATCTGTATTACATTACAACACACAAGGGTTCCGGAGAGCCGTTTTCACTTGGGGGTTAGCTTCTATTCATTTACTTGATCTTCTACAGAGAGCAGGATGTAAAATTATTCCAATATGTATCTACGCTATGGAACATGTGCTAGTGGAAAAGCTTTGTTCTGCATTATGTTAGCACAAATCATAGTGAGCAGATCCAAAGAACTTTCTCTTCCTGAGGGGGGAAAAACCCTCTGGAAACACTCAGAAATCAGCATTTTTTTTGTGCGTGTGTTTCTGTATTATGAGTGTGTTTTTTCACTTAAAATGTTTACTGATTTTTAGTTTTGAAAAGCATACTATTGTGGAACATTTGGAAAAGATTGAAAAAAATATAAACCAGAGAGAGAAAACTATCTAATTCCATCAATAAAACTAGCCATAATTCACATTTTGGTGTTTTTATCCTTTTTGTTTCTATGAATTTCTTTATAATAGTGGGATAAAAGACTGATTTGTTTCCAGTCTTCAGACCATAAATAGGATACCATGACCTGATTCACAACTTAATATCAGATGCAAGTAGCATTTCTCTTCTTGAGGTTGAGTTTTGGCTCAATGTAGACATATCCTCTTTAAGAAACTGCAAAGAGCCTGCCTTGCTGTTGCACAGTAGCGTGAGGGTTGCCCTCAGTGGGCATGCAGTGAGAAGGAACAGGAAATGCTGGCAGCACTCCTACCTCATCATCATCAGCATCGTACTGCCCATAGTGCTGCTCCAGCAGCTCTCTCTGGCGCCTCTCTTGTTCCAGCGTCTGGCTTATCAACTGGGCAACTTCACTCACTTGTCCTGGCTTTTCTCGTCCAATAACGAATCTGTAGAAAGGTTAGAGAAGACTAACGTGACTCTCTAGCAAAGTGGAGGGCTAAGAAAAGTAGCTAAGCTTGAGATCTCGGCAGAGCCCATCAAGCCTTAACAAAGTAGTATCATCCATATGCTTCAAGTGGAGCGCCTGGGTGTTAGGAAAGCTTAGCTGAGCAACTGAAGTGAGTTTTACAGACACAGCTCATAAAAGAAAGAAAGAGACACAGTAAAGGCCCATTAAAAAATTATCACTTTGGGAGAAGCCCTAACAGATACAATTCATTCTGCAGTATGTACACATTTAAGTTGCACTAAGTTTGGAAGCAAGCATATGACTTCCTTTACCACTGAACTTAAGAATCAATCCCATAAAAAATCCTCTTTATAACACAAAAAGCTTTAAAAAAATTTCAAAGCATGGTGTAAATTATATCATTAACAGACTTTTGCTAAGGTACTAAAAACTTTGGGGGTCAGAGGGGAAACAGAAGTACTATTTAAAATTTTGCTTTTAAAAGAAAAAACTCAAATTAATTATCACTTTTGGGGGAAAAGATGATTTGGGGAAGTGTGTGGTTCAAGAAATAAAGGGAAAAAAGGAAATGTCTGTTAATATTAATTCTTATTGGAAAAAAAGTCTAAGGAAAATATTTACTTACAGTGAGCCACATCACTTATGATACATCCTTATCAATTCAATGTGTTCTGCTCAACAAATTAAATAATAAAATAATATATACAGTTTCTAAGTATCATTTAATATCATTTTTGAATATGATGTTCTGAGTTTAATCTCATTTTTATACTTAATTAATAATTCCTTTGATTATAATATCTTATTTTATATATTGCATTTCAAATAACATAGACTAATATTTTCTGTACAAACTCACTGAAGGACAAAAATTTTATACCTTAATGTTCTTCATTTACTTTTCAGAAATATTTTTATGTAATTTCAAATAAGACTTAGATTAAGCTTGAGTGATCATGATCTTTTGAGTTATTTTCATTTGAGAATCAAGTATAAATAGAACTTACCAAAACCTAATTTCTCATCTTTATTCAAGTATAATTTATACACAATAAGATACATCTATTTTAAATGTACTGTCATTAAGTGTGACAAATATATAAAACTATAATTAACACATCAGTGAAGATATAAAATATTTCCATCAACCCAATATTTCCTTATATCTCTTTCCAGTAAATTGTCTTTAGCCTGGGACCACAGTACTGTTTTCCAGAGTTTCAAATGTATGGAATCATAGAAAATCTTAGTTTCTTTGGCTCACTACAATGGATTGGAGATTTATCCATGTTGTTTCAACTATCAGTAAATTGTTCTTTTTATCACTGAGTACTAAGTATTTCACTGTACCAAATATGCCACATTTGGTTGATCTACTCTTCTACTGATAGATGTTTACATGAATTTTGGATATTAGACATGAAGTTACCAGAAACATATGTGCAAGTTTTTGTGTCCTTAAGTTTTCATTCCCCTTAGGCAAATTACTAATCATGAAATTGATTAGTAATAAGTTAAGTGGATGTTAAACTTTTAAAGATATCACCAAATTGTTTTTTGAAGTGATGGTACCATTTTATGTTCCTAATAGCAACACATTAAGTTGTAGCTGTTTTATATTCTAACTTTTAACACTGCCTTCTAAAATTTCAGCCAGGCTTGTGGGTATCTAATGGTATCTCATAATGGTTTTAATTTCTAATGGACTGATGACAGATGATATTAAATATAGATCTTTTCAAGTACTTATTGACCATATCTCTTTTCTAAGTGAAATATCTTTTCAAATCTTTGGCCTGTCCCTAAAAATTGACTTCTCTGACTTTTGTTACTGACTTGTAATGGCTCTTTATATATTCTGGATACATATCTTTGTCTACATGTATTGCAAATATATATACATATACACACGTGTATATGTGTTCAATCTATTTTCTTCTTACAGTTTGTGGCTTCCCTTTTCACTTTTGTGTGTCTTTCAAGGGAAACCTGCTGTATCACTTTTTTAAAAAAAAATCATGCCTTTTGTTTTCTAAGAAATCTTTGCCTGCTTGCTAATTTCTCCTATTTTTCTTCTTTGAGTGTTAATGTTTTGCTTCTATATTAGGTGTCTTTTGAATGAATTTTTATGCATGATGTGTGACAAGGGTAAAGTTCCAATTTTTTCAAATGGATAATTAGTTGTTTCAACAACATTTGTTGAAAATAATTCATTACCACTATTGAATTACTTGGATACATTTGTTGAAAGTAATGGACCATGTATTTGTCGGTTAACTTGTAGGCTTTACTACCTAGTCACTGATAAATTTGTACTTTTGCCAATAGCTCACTTTCTTCATTACTACTCAGTAAGTCTTAAAACTAGGTAATATGAATTATTCAACTATATTTTTTCCCCGGATTTCCATATAAACTTTATAAACAGCTTGTCAATTTCTAAAAGAAAGCCCATTGGGTTTGACGTTGCTTCGAATCTACAGAACATTTTGTGGAAAACTGACAGCTTACCAATATTAACTCATATGGTCCAGGAAGGTGGTATATGTGCATTATTTAGATCTTCACTATTTTCTCAGAATACTACACTGCAGTTTTCAGTGTACAAGTCTAAGTTATAGTTTAAGTTATCTTGAAATATGCCAGATTTTCTGAAGTTATTGTAAGAGGTATTAGTTTTAGACTTAATTTTTTAGTTATTTGTTGCTGGAGTATAGAAACATAATTGATTTTTTAATACTGGTCTCAGAATCTGTGACCTTGCTACTACACTCACTCATTAATCTTATGGTCTTTTTTGTAAATACCTTAGGATATTTTCTTATTTAAATTAAAGATCGCATCCATTATGAAGAAAGCATTTTTATTTCCTACTATTTATTTTATTTGTTTCTTTGTCTATTTATTGCCTTATTGCACTGGCCAAGACCTCCAAAATACGTTAAAAAGGTATAAGAATAAACATTCTTATTCTGTTGTCTACTACTCTAAAACATAAGTTCTGAAAAGCCCAGAGATACACAGGGTAATTTCATTTGGAGATATGATGGGTGAAGATACATAAAGTCTTGACTATGTTAAAGTAATCTAGACATGTGTTACTATTTCAAATTCATTATGTTTTCAGCAAATACATGTATGTGAAAAATTATGTCTTATGATACATATAAAAAAGAACTCAAAAAATTTGTACCATAGAACAGTAGTTTTAGCAAAGTCTATACTGACTTTTTATCTTTCTTTAAATTTATCATAGTGTAAGGTTTAAGGGAGTGTCACTCACCTACTATAAAGTTGACAGGAGATAGAAAAAAAATTAGTTAATGAACAAAATGCATACTTACAGAAACAGCAGACAAGATCAAAGTAAAAGGTAAATTAAGAGTTCAGATTCATTTAAACCATAAATTCTTTGCATTTAAGCCATAAATTATTTTTGTCAGATTTTCTAGTTCAACAGTTTTTATCTAAGAATGGAGAATTTCATTTTCTCTGCAAGACAAGTCTTTAAAGTTACCCAATGAAATTCAGAAGAGAGAAAGGTAATATGTAGAAATTATATACTTGCCTAACATTTAGAACTATTGCCGTTAATTCCACGGATAAATGAAGGTCTTAATAAAGACCTTGTGAAATACTCTAAAACATACAATTATAAAAACAAGAGCCCAAACAATAATATAATGCATTTTAGTATAGTAAGAAATTATATAATCATAATATACTGCAATAGATCAAAACCTTTAATATCATATGTAAATTCTTCCTGACCTCAAAAAAAAAAAATGATCCTTACTTCCCAAACTGGAATTATTCGCAATGCTAAAATTCAAAGAAATTAGTGTATGTGTAATCAGTTTCAGAGGAAATAGAACTATTCCATAAATCTTAAAGAAACTGCATTTTGAATCATAAAAACACAGTTTTTTTTGTTTCAAATCACAGCTTGGCTTTCTGAATTTGTCTATACAATTTAACATAATTTGCTATTTGCCCAATACTGGGGTATATTCAAAATTGCTTTATAGTATGACAAAATAGAAATAATGTGCAATTGCATATAAGACAAGACAATTCATCACATGAAACAGACTCACTTTTAAACATGTTATGTTAAAATAACCCATACCTCTTCATTCAGGCACCTTTTTGGAGCAGCAGTATAGTACCTACCTATATACATTTTCAAGGCCTTGTAATCTAATATAATTTATGGTACAGGATTACAGTAAAAGAAAGTCATCTTTATAAGTACAGTCCAGGGGAAAAGTAAGAAAAGTGGAAACAAACTACTTGTTGTTCAGCTGCATTCTCCTCATGAAAATTAGTATCTAACCTTGTGTGTCCAAAGGGGTGATTGAAGAATAAAATGCAGTACATACATAAAGGGACTTGGTTGCATTATTATTATGACAAAACTGAAAAGTGTTTGAAACATGTACAGCATTTGTATTATTTTTCTATATGTTCTCAATATTTTAAGTTCATTTATAAGTAAGATTATACATACTATCTAGCAAATAAAGGATTCAGCATAAAATGTCAAATTTAAGGTAAGGTTATTATTTCAATTAAGGATCCAGAGTACAGATATGCTGTAATAGTACAATTCAGGGGTTAAAAGGGCCTATAAAATAGGGAAATCGCTTTGCTAGTATAAATCTATCTAACTGTAAACACCACTTATTGAATCTAAGGCCTTGCATATGTTAATATTTCTAAGGCTTAGTTTCCATATTTGTAAAATGAGCATAATAACTATAATAAATAAATATTATAATCCACATAAATATAATCCACATAAAGCTTAACTAAGTATCTAGTGCTTAAGAAAGTCTTTTAATAAATGTTTGCTCTTGTTCTTATCTAGACTATGCATATACTATTATCAGGATAAGGTGGAATGCGTCTAAAAGTGCTTACTGTTCACACTGTCCAATTACTTCCTCTTTTATTACAGTTTTAAAAACAGTTTTT